GGTCATGTGTCAGTTCTTCTGTGTATGACTGTATCACAGCGTCACAGGGTCAGTGTGTCAGTTTGTCTGTGTATCACTGTATGTCAGTGTGTGGGAAAGGTTGATGAAGAGAGCCCCTGCGAGGTGCCATGCCAGCAGCACAGCGCTCGTGCACAAACATTTTCTGACCTGTCCATCCCCGGCCTAGAAACAGCGCCACCCAGAGGACAAGACAACAAACAGTCAAAGAGAGAACACAGTTATACACTCCTCTTCACTTTCTACCTTCCTAGTAGAGGCACTGGCTACTAAAGCAGCTACGTCACTCCTCTGATCAGAGGGGCAAGTGCGATAAAAGAACACACACTCACACACTTGCACACACATTCACACACCTAGATCATCATTGTATAAAACTGAATTTGGGGGTTGCAGAGTGGTTGACGTCACCATGCTTAGTTAATAAAATAAAAGATGGAAAAACTCAGTTTCTCTCTCATCTATCTTGACCTCATGCATCCATGACATCCCTCTTACAAGACACTTTCAGCAAACATGTTTCAGGAAAGAGTCCAGATCCATCCAGTCCAGTACTGTAAAGTAAAGCCATTCCTCCCAAGTCCAGTCTAACTCGGTTTACTACAATCAACTCCAGCTCACTGAAACCCAGTCTAGCCTACTACAGTCCAATCCAATCCAGCCAACTAGAGTACAGTCCAGCTGATTTCCATGCAGTCTTGCTTACTATAGTCCAATCTAGTCCAGCCCACTAGAGTGCAGTCCAGCTCACTGAAACCCAGTCTTGCCTACTACAGTCCAATCTAGTCCAGCTCACTGAAACCCAGTCTTGCCTACTACAGTCCAATAGTCCAGCTCACTGAAACCCAGTCTTGCCTACTACAGTCCAATCCAGTCCAGCCAACTAGAGTACAGTCCAGCTGATTTCCATGCAGTCTTGCTTACTATAGTCCAATGTAGTCCATCCCACTAGAGTGCAGTCCAGCTCACTGAAACCCAATCTTGCCTACTACAGTCCAATCTAGTCCTGCTCACTGAAACTCAGTCTTGCCTACTACAGTCTAATCCAGTCCAGCCCACTAGAGTGCAGTCGAGCTCAGTGAAACCAAGTCTCGCCTCCTATAGTCCAATCCAGTCCAATTTACTACAATCCAGTTCAGCTCACTGAAACCCAGTCTCTCCTACTACAGTCCAATCCCATCCAGTCCAGCTCTGTCGACCCTTGCCCAGTCTAGACCAGTCCAGTCTTTTCCAGTCTAGCTCAGGGTTTTCTACTCTAGTGCCTCTTCCAGGGTTGGCATGTATGATCACCCTGGCCCAGTCTAGCCCACCTCAGCCCAGCTCACCTTGCTCATCTTGCTCTTGCTGTCAGCAGTCAGGAAGGACATGTTGTTGATCTCATTCATCACCACGAAATTCTGCTCCTCCCGCTTGAAGTTCTGCAGTACGGAAAGGAAGGAACAGAGAGGGAGAGCAGGGACAAGAGAAAGCGAGTGACACAGGAGGCAGGAGAGAAGGCAGGTGATGGGACAGAGAAAGGTGATGAAAAGGAACAAGGAAGCGAGACAGATTAAGAGAAAGTGCGGTGGATGGTGTGTGGAGGGCGATGATGAGAGAGAGGTTGATAAAGTGTGAGACAGTTGGGATAATGGGAAGAGAGGGGACTTCAGTAGAAGAAATGAGACTGAGAAAAAGAGCAGTGGGGGGGAGAGAAGGGCATAGATGAAGGAGGAAAGAAAGAGAGGCGAAGGCAGGAAGAGGAGTGGGACTCACGTGCGATTTGGACCAGAATATGAAGACCTCCCCCACCATTCTGAAGAGCTCCTCTGCATCAGAATCTGGATAGGTCAGCCACCGTGCTCTGAGTGGCAGTGACAGAAAGAGTGATACAGCACGCCCTACATTGCAAGAGCAGGAGCAGTGCCTGGACGAGGGCCCAGGCAGACAGACAGGGTATATACACTATATACGGTACCTGTTATTATCCACATATCGTATGAGCAGGGGGTACAGGGCATATAAGTCCCGGCACAGCACAGAGAACTCGTCGCGGATGATGCCCTCGGCCTCGTCTGACTCCGTCTTCCCCTCCAACCGGAGCTGATCCTCCTCTGCCACCACCTTCCCAGAACGCTTCTTCAGCTTCTCCATGGTTGGGATGAAGTGTGACTTCAGCATGTCTGGCCTGGCGCGGTTCACAATGGGCTGGGCAAACACTGACAAAGAGGAGTGAGAGCTTTTAATGGCTGGAATTCTGCACCAACAGAGAGACAGGAATGCATTAGACACATGGGAATGGGAAAGAGTGTGTGTGTGTTCTGTCAACATTTTCCCATTTTTGTGTTTATGAGCCTGTACAGTAGAGTAGCATGTGGCCTGTACTGTTTATTTTTTAATTTGGAATTATTAATTATTTTATTACATGCCCACCCAATTTGGAGTTGCCAGCTGCTTAAGATTCGGCTGTCTGGAACGGACAGGTCGGGGCAGGCCTGTCTGGTGCTCCCCACTCTCAGAGGGTTCAGGGGTTGCCGCCCTGAGCTGAGATAAAGATACAGTTGGCGACTGCACACTGGGATTGAAATATGTCTGCCGATTCTAAATTTAAAAAAGCCCATCCTATGACAGCTGTGCTCTGTCACAAGACCCTGTTTCAATCCAGGACTATCCAGGCCTCATTTTGTTTTAAATGCAAAGGCACTCCTGTTGTGTCATAATGTCAACTGGAATTTAAACTAGTGAGAGGGAAGAGAGAAGAAAAGACTGAGACAGCCAAGTGATTTCCCAGATAGGAGTTTTTCATCCCCTCTCTCTGTCTTTCCCTTGTCCTTGCCCCGAATTTCTTGCCTTTCATTCCCTCCTACATCCTTTATCTCTTCCTCCTTGTTGGACATTCTCTTCATCCAGGGAGCATCATTAGTGCTCAGTTCTCTCAATGCCCAGGGTGTCTTCTCCCCCCTCCCTTTTCATACTGAGAGCACCCTCTTGTGAGGGGAGCTGGCAAAAGTTAATGACCCCCCCCATTAAACTCCCTAAAAAATCAATTCCCAGCAAACCAGTAAACATCCAACTAGATGCAAACCCAACCACAGGCCGATGGGATTCAACTCCACCACTGGGGGGTTATTTAAGAGTCGTCTTTCTTTTGTGCTGTTTTCTGTTCACATTGTCCTAAGTGTCAGTGGGCACTCTGTGCCATCTCTCTGCAAGCCAGTGTGGAGCCCTTATTCCCACTCTCCCCCTGCCCTTGCTATGATCCCTCTCTCCTCACCAGCCAGCCTCTTCATCCAGGAGGCCTCATCTCCCCCGTCCTTTACTCCCACTCTCCCCCTGCCCTTGCTATGTTCTCACACTCTCCTCACCAGCCAGTCTCTTCATCCAGGAGGCCTCTTCGATGCCCAGGTTGTTCACCACGATCTTCATGATGTTGCCCAGCAGCTGGTTGAGGGGCTCTGCAGTGACATCTGTGCACAGGCGGCCCTCCTGGTCAGGGAAGTTTTCAGGGCCCCTCTCCCACCAGCGGGGCAGGTAGTTGCAGAGCATGGGCAACGTTATCTCAATGACATGGGGCATCTCGGTATAGCGCGCCCCTGACTCCGCCAGATCCCCAATCTCCTTCATAAGGACATCCAGCTCAGGGATGTCAGGGCACAGATCCTGCACCTGATTTGGCAGACCCAGGACTGGAGCAGACAGACAGCATAGAGGGATAGTGATGAGTGAGAGAGACAGGAGTGAGAGTCAGTGATACAGTGATGAGTGAGAGAGACA